GCAAGGTGCCACGCCACAAGACGTGCAGTCTTCGAGTCATCGAGCCCTTCGAAGTCGTTGACCCGATGGGAAAAGGTGACGCCGAAGGGTGCGCGTTCGAGGTCCGTCCAGGACAGGCTGTCTTTGAGAAGAAGCGACGGCGCCCCGCATTTGACCGTGCAATGCGACTTCCTCGATTGAAATCGACGCGGCGAGAGGGATACTTGTGAATCGATGTAAGAGTGAGGTGAGGGTTACAGAAACGTCCCAGCCTGACAGGTCACCCATGGCCTGCGTGAATACTTTCTTCAGTTCTCGCTATTGACGATCCTTGAAGCCCAGTGCTCGCGTTTGTTTTGTTTTTTTCCCTACCACCCATCCTGTTTGGAGTATGCGAGAAACAGCCCGACGCAGAAATTAGCAGGATCGACCATCTACCCCCGTCATTTCAAAGCTGGTTTCTGGGGAGCTCGCTTGCCGTGTCGGTTTGTTTTCTCTATTTTTTGTTCGCTTGCGAAATAGAGTGGTGAAACTACTTCTCAACCGATCGATGCGCGTGCGTGAAATTTTCCAAACATTGCTTTTCTTTTACTTTGCACTTCTTCATTTCAAAGCGTTGCTCTGCAATATATATAAGCAGGAAGCGGAAGTCAAGTGCAGGCGAAGTGTTTGCATCGTCGTTGTGGCATTAGATGAATGAGGGGTACCGGCTAAAGGTATACGGGGTAGGGCCGCCCAAGAAACGGGTTTCTTCGTTTTCGCCGCTAAGTCGAGCAGCTAGCTGCACAACGCCCCGATCTGCTGCTCGCTTCCTACTTCAGTTTATTATTTTTTTTCTTCGTGTTCGCGGGGCGTGCACTCAAAGCGGAGCAAAACATGACCTCGGCGACGGTGGGATGCCGCGAATGCGGGTGAAGGTGAAAGTCGTTTCTCGGGGCAATGCCTCATTGAGTTCAAACGCTCAGATTCAACGTCCTATTCCGCCCTTCCGGCTTTCTTCGCTTTATTTTTTTAGCTCATCTCTCGTTTCAAAACTCTGCGCAAGAGTTTGCAAACGTGAGCTGCACGTACCGGCCGCTTGATGAAAGGCAAACTTATAAATCCAACGCGCAGCGCATGTCACAGGCACCACTTCTCGAAAGCTTTCAGTGAAGTCGAGGAGGAAGACCCTCGAATGCTAGTATTCAGAAATTTTTGGTATTGGGGACTCCAGCTTGTGCGTGCCCAGAGCTTTTGCGTTCTTCTGCACTCTCCGCTGCTGGAGTACAGCGGTACCAAGAGCTTGGAGCCTCAATGGTTTGAGATCCTTAGTATGAATACTCTCCGTTGATTAGTTTATGACGAGTGCAGAGATAAATACCGAATCTATGGAATGGGAGAGGAAGGGAGGTAGGCACTCATACTGCGCTTATGCATCTACCAAATTAACAGGTCGCGGAAGTCGGGACATGAGGAGCGCCCCCTCCCCTCTCGTCTATGTTTACCTTTGGGGGTGTAGCGATTGCATTATTGTACTATGCCATCTTCCCGAGAGTAAATGAACAGACGTCAGTTAGGTTTCCTGTTATTCTGTGATTACATAGCTCATACATACAAAATTATGTTTTCATCCATCCGTTGAAAGAAATTGTCCTACTTAAGCGCTTCTGCTTTTTCATTGTTCCATTGTCTTTCTCGAAATACCTTCTTTCATATCAGTTACGCAAGAAAAAATTTAAGCAACGGTTGGGAAATGAGGTCACCAATCCAGTACAAAACAAATATGGTGGTTACGAAACATGGTTACGAGATTCTAGTGAAATCCGAAACTATGGCACCAGTTCTCTCTGGGAAAAAAAGAAAATAGTTTTGTCGTTGCGAATAAGGGTTCCACGTAAAAAAGTCAAACGAAAAAACATTCGCGCTACTACCGCAGTCGTGGATTGTGTTTTCACGCTTCGGAAATGTATCCCTTGAGCTTCTCGATGTCATTAAAATGAACAAATAGTGCGCTGGTCACCCAAGGGGATCACCGTCGCAAGAGCAACATATAATGTTTAAAGCTCGAGAGCATAGATCAAAAGTTTGAAAGAAAGAAAAGGACGAAGGCTTATAACGTACAATTACCTGCACGTGCCTTTCTTTACTGACTCAATAGTTCTTTGACTCAATTGATGGGGTATGTATCGCAGTTGCTGCCTCCGTACTTATGACGAAATAAAGACCACCTCCTCCCTCATTGAGGGAAAGAAAGGACATGAGTGGGTCAGTGAAAGCATTCTCTGTTTCGTCGTCACTACCACGTGACAGACGCCAGCGTGTGTAATCACTCCGCATTCTGCACGCCATCAATCAAGCGAAAGGAATACAGTAATAAAGGAAAGCCGCGCGGACGAGTGAAAGAAAGCGGCGCGACGCCCGACACAAGCTTGGTGGAATGATGGCGGCCTCCTGGTGTACCTTCCTTGCCAATGGCTTTCCTGAAGAGTGCGGTCGTTTGCTCCTTTCAATGACCATCATTAAAGGCTACGGAGAAGGAAGATTCGAGCCGCAAGACGGACAGAAGAAGAAGCCCTGATTGCCTCATGGCACGTTCTCCTTTGCTTTTGATTTCTTGCGCAGTGCCATTCTTGCGCTGTTGCTTTCTCGAGTGCAGCGGCAAGCCGTCCCAAGCGGTGAGCGAGCCTGCCCCGCGTCACAGACAGGAGTCACGGGGGTCAGGCAATCACTGGGACTGCCAGAGAGGCCAGAACGGCCGCTCGCACAGCGATCTCTCTTTCTGTTGCCTCAGATATGCTGGCTGCCCAGTCCGACGAGTGAATCAGCACGTTGAACTGAGCAAATAAGATAAATATAAGAACGCAAAAAGCTGATCTGTGCGGTATCGCGACGTGTTGCTGTCGTACGGGGAAGAGAAGCAAGTTGGACGGCTAAGTCACGCGCCAGTGGTCACGAGGAGCCGTATTTGCAATTGGGGTGAACATCGCGCGTGAAGGACCTCTTTTGTGTTTCTATTTCCACGCGATCAGATGTGTCATGCATCTGCGATCCCCCACGCTTCTTTATCACACGTTCAAACGCTATTCTAGCGATGCCGAAAAGAAACAAGCTAGCAAATTGCGCTTGCACGCGATAAGAAATGGTTCCCTTCTGAATGAGAAAGAAAGTAAAATACTAGAGTCGGTGGAATCGCGTTCACACAGTGTAGTACGCCATTCACTTAGACAAGTTGGAGCGCCAGAAAGCACTATGGATGCCCTGGAATGAAATTAATGAAAAAGAGCTGAGTATTACAGTCACCAAGTCGACAACGACGCATGCCTGTAGTCAATCACTCGAGCGGTGCGACGATAGAACTAATAAATTTTCAGGAGCAAGCTGTGTTGCACTCGCACACCAATGGTCTTCCATAGCACAGTCCTGCATGTCCCATAGTGCTCCCACCGTAAACATGATACGAAGTTCTTGATATGGCGAGTCACTATTTATAAATAAAAAAGCAATTAAGTCTGAACAAGTAAGCGCTAACAGCCCATCAGTTCAGTGCGTAACCTTAAGTCATGCTGCTTTTCATAGGTGCCAATGAACACCGTACCGCAACAAAATCAATGGTCAATGTGCCACCGTCCGTGTCATGTCCAGGAGCGTATATCGAGGGTTTCCAGCCCCTCACTGAAAGTGTTTACAATTGTATATGTATACACGCGAGCACATACAAAGATATCCACTTATCCACCTCTCACTTCATCGACGAAAAATTTTGTCTATAGACATGGTGACTGGGGATTCAAGGCATTATGTAGAGATAACAATGTTACAGTATTCTGATTGAAGTTTAGGATTAGCTGTGCAGAGAATGAAATAGGCCGCAGAGGAAAATATTTTCCTAAACGTCAGCAATCAGGGTTGAAAAATATGACATTCAGCGCACTTAGCCTAAGTATTGCTGTTGCCTATTACATGACAACGTATTTGTTTTTGTTGTTTTCACAACTTTTACTACCTCTACACCTAATGCGAGGACTTCTTCAGTAGATCTTGCGGGGTGCTTTCCGTGCTTATTTGTACTCGTAACACCACAGTGAAAGTTCTATATGAGTATACTCACATAAGACTACTGAATGTTCTCTAATGTAAGCTTAATATTTGTGTTTATGTGAGTTTAGGAATAAATGAAGGCTGTTGCACTGACCTTAATTCGTTATTATTTCCCCGTGGTTGATTCGCATTGGAATACTTTTTGGATGATATAGAGAAATACAAAGGTGTCGTCATAGATATGTAAAGAGCAACGGAATGTAAGACACTTTCAAGCCACGCGGTCATTCCTACTTTTCACACAAAGATTGGACAAAATCACATCTGACAAACAGGAAAACAACAGGCGCATGTATAGTCGAAATGGAGCAATGAGACGAAAGGCTGTCATTCCACACCCGAATAGGATCGCAGTTAACTTCGATGCACTGTAGCGCGCATCACGCAAGCGCTTCGCGTTTTGCAAGGGCGTAATTAGGTTAAAAATTCAGACGTTACCTGTACAAATAAGTTACGCAAGAGAGTGCGGATAGTGAAAATTGTGGCACATAAAACGATGAGACAAACAAGCTGAAAGAGATGCTCCTGTAAGTGCCATTCATAGTTTTTATGACTGGTCTTGGCTGCCAATATGTACACTCTAAGAAATTCCTGTTACTCTTTGCGCGTGCAGCAGCATTTACAAATTTTAACAGCATAACGTATTGTGCAATTTACAATTAACTGCTTAACCTATAAGCAAATGAATGTTAAAGCCGGCGCTACGCAAACAGTTTGCGGCACATAATGTTTCCCTTTTGTGTATATCCCCATACAATATTAGTTAAAAACTCAACCCGAATGCGACAAAATATTACCTTTAAACTTCCGTGTTTCGGATACGAGAGAACTAAATCCCCCAATAGTTCGTTGCCGCGCTTCCCTGTGACCACTACTGTGGTTGCAATAAGATCTCGTGGACCTTCGAGAGACAATATTCCCAGTGATAAGCAGTGGCTACTCACGGGACGGGCACTTCGACGGGCTTCTTGACGATGATCTCCTTGAAGACGGGCACCTTGACTGGCACATGGACGGGCTTGGGCACGTGGATGACTTTGTGCACGGGGACAGGCACCAGCTTGGGCACCTTGACGGGCACCGGCACCGGCACGACGCGTGGTACCGGCACGTGCTTGTAGATTGGCACCGGCTGGTGCTTGATGACCGGCACTGGCACGCCTACGCTAACGTAGTGCGGCACGGGCACGGGCTTCGGGACTGGGACGTACTTGGCCACGGGGACCAGTTTAGGGATCTTCTTGACGACGGGCACCTTCACCGGTACAGGCACCGCGTGTGGCACGTGTACCACATGTGGCACGTGGATCACCTTAGGCACCGGGAAGGGTTTGGGCACCGGCACGGGATGCGGGTACGGGACCACCTTGTGGACCAGCTTGACGATCTCGTCCGGCTTCCAGGGCTGGTGGTAACCGGCAGTGGCCGCGCCCAGCAGGCAGGCCAGCACGCCCAGACACGCGGCTGCGCTCCTCATCTTCTCAGCTCCTCCTGCACGACACGCGGCACCCAGCACGGTTCAGGATGAGAACGTCGTGGCACATCTATATCCTGCTCGCCCAAGACCCCGCGGCTGAGACACCGCGCGGACCCGCAGTGGGGGGCCCGCGCGGGGTTTGAGTCACGAGCTCGCACCCCTATCGCGCGCCCCCCCCAACCCCCTCCCGCTGGCGAGGCAATCACTTTCGCTGCGTCGTCGTCTCGACGTGCGTGTGTATATCCATAGAGGCGCTGAATTCCGAGACGGGTCGCTGCTGCGGCCACTCACCGTCGTATGCGTGGCCGGCTGTCGAAACTGACTGTTTTTGTGTGGCACGCGCCTGCTACTGTAGTGCGCTGTCGGCGAGCCAAGACGTGAATGCGCTGGCCGGGCCTTTGCCTTAAGTAGTCCCCCTCCGCGCGCGGCCACTCTGCGCTGACCTACATCGGGATCACTGCTCTAATCCCGATAGGGCAGCCACGGGCGAGGGGCCTACCGTGCGGAGAAGGGGGCTGGCCCCCTCGCTCGGCCACCTAGGCCCCATCGGCGCATGCGCACACGGGTCAGTCGCCACGAGGGGGTGGAAACCCGAGTGGAGGGGGGTTCATGCCAGTGAAAATATTTTTGGCCGTACGCGTCAGGAGCGCACAGGTGCGACAGCGGTCCTAATTCCTGGAAGCACGGTGTCCGCTGGTTGGCTCCAGAAAAGCCGTGGCGAGGAGCCTATGCCTGACCCAGTTGCCCAACGCTGCACCTTAGCCCGAGCTACGCTGTTACTTCCCCCTCCTCTGGCGTCTGCCCCCCCCCCCCCCTATAGGAGGGGGTTTTCTGGGGGGCTGTGAAAAAGTGCGCCGCGGCGAAAGTTGCTTTCCATCTCGTTGGCTTCCGCCGGATCTCTCCCAGTCGGGGCGGCTGGCCGCTCGGCTCGCCGGGAGGCTGGGCCGTTGTCGCTGCTGTGCACTTATTCACGCGGCGCTGCCAATATGCCGGCGCCTCTCTCGGAAGTGCTTACTGTGCGCACCTTGCCAGACGGCTACCATTTACTGTTCGCGCAGTTTCCTCAGAGGCATTTCACCTTGATAAATCTTAACCTTTCATCGAATGGTGAATTCACTGTGAAGAATGACTGCAAACATCGCATAATGCGAAATTAAGTTTTTAGAAGTAACTCAGCTGCAGTAAATGAGATAGATCAGGCGTTTCAATAGATTGCAAAGCACATTCTATTTGAATACAATGCCACGTGCACTTGCCTAAGCTCATGCAGCGCCTCGTAACAGCCTTCTTGCCAATCCAAGAAAGACATTGTAGGAAGCTGCTTCTGTAACTTGCCGATGAGGCTAGAACGCGTCTCACGCAGTGATGTAACTCTTATGTACACGTGGGTGCCAATACTACAGCATATATATCACAATTATACTTTAGTGCAGCGAATAACTCTGTGGACTCACTATACGTTGCAGCGAATGAGTACAAATTATTTAGGAATTAAGTGCTAATATAAACTCGCTAAGCAAACTCGACAGTGTTGACACACCAAAAAATAATAATAAATATTGATCTTCCTTTTACTGTGTTGTGAATTTAACGCTATGGTGTTATAAACAACCTGATTGTGTAGCATTCCAGAGCACAACTTTCGTTTTTTGATGGGATAGCAATGCGAAGGCAAGTACCGTTAGTAAAATATAAAGGCGATTGTCAATACTCTTATTCCCTAAAGACGGAGAGGCTACAAAAAGTCATTTTATTTTATAAGGCACCTATTGCAGAATAGGAATCAGGTTATGTTTTCTTTTTTTCTTTTTTTGCTGATGCTTGTACTTCTCAAGCAGTTACACCTGGTTGTATCAATCTCTGCGCATATTTTCATTGTTCTTGCAAACAATCTTCATACATTTATTTACAGTGTCCCTGAATCTGTCAGATGTCTGCTGGAGGTCATCTTGAATGAATACACTCGCATTGCTCTACAGTACACTGAGTCGTTCCTGAACCCTTGTTCCAGCGAACATACAGCACACATATTTGTCCTGAGATTGCCTGATTGCTCTTCAATTTCAATGCACTGTACCTCTAGTGCTGTACATACGTTTTCCATAAATTTATTTCTTGCAGTATTTGTATATATATCTATGGTTGTAAAACCAACTTACTTGGCAACCAGTTTACTAAGGGAGTTTATCTGGCGTTATTTAAAACCACCGCTAATTGTCTATTTACATTTCCAGACAACTCGTAATGGGCAGGTCTCCAACTCAATTGATCCCGTCCTCCATGCTACGTCAACGCCTTCGAATAATAAGACACTACACATGTCCTTATCAACCACTGCTCGTGCCCTTATTTTGTCACCGAAATTCCTAGGTATTTCTTCAAAACTAGTTTGTAGCTCCACTTCTCTCGCTTCAACACACCCCGGCCTACGCAGCCGGACATTGATCTATACACATTGTTAATGTGTGCGCATGTAGGATCCTGGTGTCAATCATCCCAGTGATCTCCAAATAATTACCAACCTTCAACAAGCACCCCCTTTTAGCGTTTGCCCCCTTCGCTAATCAAAATTGGCCTTAGCCGTTCCTCATGGGCCTTGCTTCTTCAGCATGTGAAACCTCTGTGCAAAGATAACTACACTGACATGATCTGCAAAAATGAGTTGGCCCTTTTAATCAAGCTAACTCAGATGATCTGCAAGGAAACCCAACTTACTCCTATATAATCAATGGATTTCTAAATGTGTCACAAAACTTTCTCCAGCTGTCACAAATTATTTATTCAATAGCTTTCTGTCCAATAGCTTTCTGCAGTTCAATCTAAGGGGAATTAGTACATCTGCACATATGACTCCGTCGTAAAAAAATTTAGGTAAAACATCCTTAAAAAAACCTCCCCAGGATAATGCTTCGGATCAAGTGCTTCCAGGTTTTGGAAGCAAAAAATTTGTATAGCTACACAGCTTGTGTGTGCACCAATGTTTTATTCCATTTTCTTATTATTTGGAATATCGGTATTTAGAAACCTTGCCGAAAAATGATGGTGTAAGACTCGTTTTCAAGACAATAGGCTTTCGTGGGTTAAATTAAATAATCAAGGACTGCCTTCCTGCGATGGTAGAAATTTCACGCAGCTCGTCGTCTGACTTAGATTGCAACACCACGCGAATCGTTTGTGTAAACCACAGTTTTATTGTTTTTTTTATTTATTTGTTTGTACATACTACACCCAACTATCTCGCTATCGCCAAATTGGGTGCAAAATAAAACATTCGCACGAAGTTGTAGCAGTTCACTAACATTCAAAAAATTGTCAATACAGTACCCGAGTGTCAATTACGCTGCAGAATATTTTAGCGCTGAGAGGTTCAATAAAAAAAAATGGCAGCATATCCACGGAATGAATGATCGAGAGTGGGGCGATGCATCCGTCCGTCCATTTATTCTTGCTTCTGTTCATCCATGCGTTCGTCCGTCTGTGTGACCGTCCGTGCGTGCGTCTGTTCGTGCGTCCGCACGTTCATCTGTGCGTCCGTCCCTGCGTTCGTCCATGCATCCGCCCCTGCGTCCGTCCATGCGTCCATTCATCCATCTAGTCATCCGTGCGTCCATCCAGACATCTGTCTCTCCATTCGTCCATCTCGTCAACATTTAGAGTACCACCATCTCGCATCTTTCCATCAAATATTCTACATATAAAAGCACCACCATCCAGCGGACATTCCAAGGACTAAACGAGAGGTGGCACACGCACACTTTCTTACGGCTTGCGCTTCTTGTCTACTTCCCACCTTTAACCACCTCGAGTTCATGGTATACACTTGTTCACTGTATTTGTGGCACTGCGGCCCAACGCTCGCTAAACCTTTCTAAAACCAAGGAGGTTACGCTCAGCGAGTATAGCGTAGCAACCCTTTCTTGTCAGATAGTGCTCAATGTACATGCCAATTGCCAGCCAAGACGTACGATTGTCCCCACTGCGAGAGAAGCGCGCATGTTAGCGTCCATTCTGATCCCCCTAAGCGGCGCAAAGTAAGCGTGAGAGATGAGAGCGTGCGCTGCCGCGTGCGTCGTAACGATGTGGTGACGCTCGCTCATTCCGCCATCTTGCTGGTATTGATGAAAACTCGTTAGTTCACCCCGAAATTCCAGTCACCAGCGGTAAGTGGTAAATATGAATAGCCTGCTATTTGAACAATCAAGGTGGTGTTTTTCCTGGCTCAACAAATCGCCCTCACAATTCAGAGGTCCCACGTTCGATTCCGCGCGCCGGAGTCTTTTTCTGAATTATTTTTCCTTCTTGTGTTTTCACATATTAATCGAACGTAAATGTATACACATACGGTGAGTGACGGTGACGCCGACGGCAAAATAATGTCGAGGCTGTCCATACAATTGCTATCGCAATAACAACATATACCCATAAAAATCTGAGAGAACAAAACAGTGTGATATCGAGACATCATTTTGTCTAGTTCAACAAGCGGCTGAAGCAACATTCTTATCCTTCGAGAAGCACAGCGCCAAGTATCTATAGTTGTGCATTACCTTCGAATATCAAACGTAAATATGTTTTTATAGTTTGTGCCACGTGTTTCCACACTATGTCGGAAAGGTTGTAAGAGGCGAGGAATAGTTGTCGCAAAAGCGACATACAAATGTAACCGCTCTTTTTTTCTGCGTATCCTGACTACTGGATTGCTCTCCTCCTACTGAAGATTTGAAGGATTCCTGCCATATTAGTGGATCTTGCGTTGGTTCACTCCTTCATAAGTTATCCGGGTGCTGAATGGAGACGCGTGCTTCGACAAAATTTATTATTGGCTTTGATATCAATATGATAATCACGGTGATGATTGCCTTCCTATTAGCGTCCTTTGCAGTGTGAGGCGATCACAAAAATTACCGATATATAAAGCCTGAATGAGGTGCAAAGATTAGTAAACCATTTCGATTGACCGCGAGCAACAGCAGCTGCCGCATAGTGTACGTCAAATAATCTATTGATAGCGGCG